ATATATATATATATATATATACATATATAGTTAATATACATATATATATATATATATATATATATATGTATATCTGGAGACAGAGGGAGAGTGGAGAGAGAAAGTAGTGGTATATGAACAATTAGTAAGAGTTACAGAAAAATTGTATGTAGGAAAAACTAGTACACATATATTTCAATTTTCTGACATCACCTATAAGGGTTTTGAAGAAGCAAATGATACGCAATTGGTAAGTACAGTTGTTGGCAAAAGAAAAGAATACACAAATCTTGTGAAGTACTACATGATGACGTTGTAAAGAGAAAAATTGACAGAAGAAGAAAAGAAGAGGATAATACAGATAACTGTCTCGAGATAATTCCAATAATCGGCCAAGTCTTGTGCAGCCGGTAGCAAAAGAGCGTTACAACGCAAAGAAAAAGGGGGGGGGGGTATCACTCCGTTGGTGATGAACAAAATAGAAGAGACGCAGGTTGGCTGAATGTTAGTTGAGTGTTGGAGAGACACAGGGGTGCTGACGACAAGTTATAGACTATGGAAGACAAATAGATCACAGACATGATGTTAGAGTTTAGTTTGAACGAAGAGAAGTGAGGGGAGCTAAGGAAAAGGATGGCGTATAGAAATGTTAGGTCCGGTCGGCCGCCAAAACCTAGAGAAGAGGGGGAGGGGGTGTCAGAAAAAAAATGAAAGAGTATGAGAATATTTAGAAACACAGAAATAGCAGGCGAAGTGAAGATTCTCCAACATTGAAAGAGGAAACAGCTTTAATTTTTGGAAGAAGAGAGACCATTAGAGAGAACGGTGGAAGGGCTAAAGTGTGTTAAACAGGAAGAGATACATAAGCAATCTAAATATGGAAGAATGAAAAAGTGAAGGTTAGGCACATCATCAACGGAACACTATCCGATCTTTCGGTAGCGCATTTTGGTTCGAGGAATCTTGGTTCTATTGGGAAGTTCGATTGTGATCGTTGAATAGATAGATGAAAAATCATATATAATCATAGATAGTTGGAAGAGAGTCTAAAGATATCAGAAACGTGAGATAGAGAGATTATAGAGAGATGGAAAAGACGAAAACGATGAAGAAAACAGAACGAAAAGAAAGGAGTGTCCAAGAAGAAACGCATGTAAGGCTTCCAACAACGGACACAAACAGCAATCAACGAGTGTTGTACTCCAGTCTGATGATGATCATAAGTCTCATCATCAAACCCCATTTTCTCTCTCAATATGCCTCTCTCTCCTTCTCTTCATCTCTCTCTCTCTTTGCCTGTATATTCACTTTATATTTTTCTTCCTCTCAGTCTCTCACTCTTTGTTTCTCTCATTAAAAGTCTCACTATCTCTTTCTCTTCTTCTTTCAAAATGTTCCATGATTTTTCCAATTGAATCAAATGACGTCATGACTACAGAGGAAACACACAGTTTATGTTGATGAGAGGAGCCTTTATTAAGAAGTTTAAAAAGTGATTCACTTGCTGACACGGCTCGTTTTTTCTCTTTCTGCCTTCTCCATGCATAGGTCTTCTCTTCAACCCCACTATCTTCACATTTGCTCCCAAGTCATTTTTCAAAAAATATACAGGAAATGCCAAACACTTCCATATATTGCTATATATAATGATGGGCAAATCAGAAAACTTTAATAAACTGTCAGTCTGATTAAAAAAAGATGACGTTGATGATGAAAAATGACTAAAAATCAACTTGAATGATGTGAGAGCTTGGACGTCAACAGACGACTATCGACAACGACTACTATGTAGAAGAGGATATGTCATTTTTTGGGTTTCATTTTAGTGATTGTGTTGGCTTAACTATATAAATGTGACAATTCATTTGGCAATTCTGTGTGTAAATGAATAGAAACACAAATATGACCAGTTATTAAAATATGTACGTGCAGCACGCCGCCTCTCTCTCTCTGTCTCTCCTACCACCTCTTTCTCTCTCTCTGATAGATCTATCTCTCATTCAGTTGAAAAAAAGAAGAAGACACAGCTTATCATCCGAAGAAATTCTGATGAGATCCATGGCGAGTCATATGAGAAGGGGAAGTAGCACTTTCATAAGTAGCAAAGAAAGTTAAACTGACAGCGAAAGAAAATCTGATGAGATTATCATGAGAAAGCGAAAAAAATGGAAAAAAGCGAAAAGGCAAGCATGCAGTTCGTAGGAAAAGTTCATAAAAAGATGGAATAATGAAACGAGTAAAAGTTAATTAAAATAATAAAAAAGAGTATCTGCATGAGTAACGGAGCGATTTGAAGAGAATCAAGCTTTATCAGACGG